TACTTACACACTTACTTACACACTTACTTACACACTTACTTACTTACTTACTTACTTACTTACTTACTTACTTACTTACTTACTTACTTACTTACTTACTTACACACTTACTTACACACTTACTTACGCATCTACTTATTTACCTTAAACTTGCAATTAAAATTTGACTAAAAACATTGATCCTAAACAAACTCCATGCAGCAGGGGGCAGTGTGACTCCCAGTGTGCCTGACCGCATTCATCCTGTGCCTGAGGAAATAGCAGCAACCTGTATAAAATACAAAAAGAACAGAGTTGATGAGACTGAGTGAATTTGTGTGCATTCAGGTGCTACATGTTTAAAAATGAACATTTCTTCTAAAGAAACCCACTTACAGTTTCAGTTTGAGACAAAACAGCAAAGGTTGCAGCACAGTTAGAAGTTGTGTCTTCCTGTCTTCCTGTGTTTCTTTGTTGGGCCGCATTGCTTCTGGTTCTGTGCACCTAAAGAGGAACAAAGGATTAGGAAGGACTTATACCCTTTCTCTCCTTTAATTACAGCGACCACCCCTCTTCCTTTCTAAACCTCTCAAGAGCTAAGACTGACCCCACTGGAATGTTTGGCTCTAAAAGAAGTTGCTTCGACCCCCCTTCCTCAGCTTCACCACCAATGATACAGTGATTTGGGCTTCCAGCTTTGTGCTTCTTTGTCTTTCTAAGCCTCTTAAAAGGAGCGTGATGCTGTGTGCAAAGGGTCCCCCTCACTTTCTCCTGACGTCTTAGACACAGTTTTTACTCAACTGTTGTGTTGCTGTTTAATCTGATGAAACACCCACCTGTTTTGACACAGGAAGAAAAGCTGTTTTGTTGGTGTCCAATGTTCTTCATCATATTTTCCACCCAATTTAAGAAACGCACGTTTTAACTGGAAATATAAGGGTACATTCAGTAGCTTGTTTGTTGCAAAAATGAAAAGAAAAAGGAATTTAGCAATCTTTTGTTGCAAATTGTTGCACAAGTCTTGCACACATCTCTGCATCTCTGTTTCTTTACTTTTAAAAAGTCAAATCTCATGTGTTAGAAAATATTTGAGTTTGACAAATTCATATAAAATATATTTTACTTCTTAATTGTGTGAATTTAGGAGAGAGTTGTTCAGCCGTGGGCAGAACTAAATCACCTTTTTCTGTTTGAGATCCATCTCTGTGCAGTCAGCTTCTGATAAGATGCTAGTTTAGCACTTTAGGGAATAATGGATGTTAAAAATAAAATTCATAGCTATATAATCTTAATAAACAACAGACATGCATTGTCCTGCACAGAAAACCCATTACTTCGATGCCGTTAAAACGTTTTATTTTCTTCTTCCAGGGTTTTGTCCTCCAGGTTCCATGCTTTGTGATGGAGGTGCCTGTTTCACACCTGAGCAGATGTGTGACTTCATAGATGATTGTGGTGATGGCACTGATGAAAAGGAGTGTGGGACATCCTGCTCATTTGAGAAAGGTATATGTGGCTGGAAGACGTCGCTGGCTGATAATTTTGACTGGACTCTCGGCACCGGATCTGTGCAAAGCATTCGGCCTCCTTACGATCACACACTGATGAATGAGAACGGTATGAGTTTATAAAATTGTTTTATCTTTTAGATTCTGACTTAAAACCAAAGGTCTTTTTGTCATAGTTTCTTCTTCGACATTTTATTTGTTTAAATAAATGTGTTTTTTTTTTTACTTCAGGCTGATTTTGTGGATAGAAGTGAAAGTGCGCTGATTGAATAGTCTCACTTTTTAGAGTCAATCTGCACACAGTGTTTAATTCAGGCTAAATCGATGAGCTATTTAACAGTAAGTGAATGTACGGGAGCTGAGATTGATGCAGAGCAGAAATCCCATTAAACAAAGCTCACTGTAATGAGCTATATACTGTATGTGAACAAAGAAACACAAATGTTAAATTAGTTTGAAAAGACCAGAGTCTGTATTACTATTGCATCTATAAGATCTGTAGCACAGCAGATATTCCTAATTCAAACAATAATAAATCAAGTTTTAAATTCCATAATTCAGTTCATAATGATCTCATTTGTGACTTGGAGCAGAAAAAGAAATAAAAAGAATGGCTAACTGTAGCTTTTTTTCTTTTCATTTTTCTTTTCTTTTTTTGACTATAGAAAGCATGTCAAATATTTCATAATAAAAGCTTGAGCCAGACTCGTGCTTTTAATGTAAATCCAGTGAAACTAAGAGTCTGTTCTGCATAAGATACTAAATGCAAATTTGATTTTTAGAAGAAAAAAAAAACAATAATGTTGATAGGACTAATAATAGCTGTATGGGACATAAACTGCAGTAAATTAATAGAAACTGTATGTAAGTAAAAATATGGTTCGGCAACTGGGTTTTGGTGCTCAAGACATCCACATATTTTATGAACACACATAACAAAACACAGCCATCACCTTTTATAATGATTTACCATATGATAAATGTATGCAGTAACAATGGAGTAATCGTTAGCATTATTGATTCATATCAGCTAAGTCTGTGGTTTGAACCTTAGCTGTGCAGGTTTTTCTGGGAAGCTCTTCTGATGCACCCATTCGTATTTATTTTGCGATGCCTCCTAATGCCTCCACTTATTTTTTTTAATTTCTGGAAAATCTATGAGGTGGAATAACTAACAAAACCTCCTGCRTAGAGTAAACAGCTATCTGCTATCAATTTATGATGTTTCTGGTTTCATCCTCCCTTCTGGACTGCCATCACATTACATAATGCATAACCCTTTGTCTAAAATAAGCAATGCAGCTTGTTTATGTGAGGCGTTACAGATGCACCTATGAAGCCCCATCTCTTCAATTGCATAAAGTGCCCCCAGGCAAGAAAGCAACTGCTGTTAGGTCAGGAAATACAAGCACTTGGAAGGGTGAAGTCTGTGAAATATATACAAATATATTCCTCAACATGACTGGAAAACACATAAATAGAATAAATATTATGCAGATATTATGTTTAAACGGGAATATTAATTAAAAAAAACTTTTCTACATTTAAGTTTTATTTTTGTGTGTGCGTAATTTTGACTGATTAACCTAAAGTGCTCCTCTGTGTCGAAGGGCAGTGCCACATTAAGGCACATGCCAGGGATCACTCAGTGGCCCTCACTTCCTCAACACGCTCTTCCTCATCATGTAATTTGAAAAAAAAATCATGAAGAATCATGTCTCCTTTTTTTTACCCTTGTAGGTCATTTTATTTATCTTGAAGCGACGCCAGTGGGACTTAAAGGGGATAAAGCTCACATCAGGAGCTCTGTTTGGAAAGAGTCCAGTGCTCTGTGTAAACTCTCCTTCTGGTACTACATTTCCCATAAGGCCACGGGCACCATCCGGCTTCTGATCAAGGTAAAGCAGTTTTGATTGATTTGGGAGAAATTTGCACCAAGAGATGATTAAAAAAACTTATATCAACCCATCACAGTTGATAAGAACCTCTCCTGACTGTCATTCACAGTTGGTCAGAAATAAGCCCGACTATCTTCAATTATGTTAATATTCGTAGACGTTTCATCATATCAGTTCTACTGTTCGGGGGTGGTTCTCATTTGATAGAAAGTGAAGTGAAGCTTCATTTTTAGGCAGATTTATGATCTGTGGGGGTGGGGGCTGCAGAAGGGGCTGGGAGGTGAATGGGGGTCATGGTCACCCCTCGGCGCAGGGTGACCCCACCCCGCCGTCTGGATGGAGTGCATTCTTGCCAGATTTTCAAGGCTTTAACGCTTGTAAGGCATTGACTTTGAATATGCATGGCCGAGGGATTTGAACGCACATTTCTGCTTTTTTAGATTCTGCAGTTTTTCGCTCTGCCTGCATCCTCGTGGTCTGTCTTCTCTCAACTTTATTTAAATGTCAGGGTGGCTGGGGGGTCAAGGTGTAGGTGTTGAATCACTCCTTCTTGTGGGAATATAAAATAAAGGATATTCTTGAATATGCAACAACTGTTAGATGATTACTGATTCTTCTCTGTGAAAAATTGATGCTGATTTTCAATTAATCATCTCATCAACATGATGCTATTGATCCTAACTTTAAGATCACTTCAGAAAGATTGTTAAAAATGTAAAGTCTAGGGTTTAAAACAGTATTTAAATCAGTCCCTGTGGCTCTGGGATTGATTATGTGACACTGAGAAGCAGGAGATGATTAATGTCTGTGGGGTGTTTTAAATTCAAGGAAAACAGCAAATTAGACCTCATATATAAAACTTGGACTATAACCATTAAAATACAGCCAGTGAATCCCATACTAAAATAGAGACAGCGGCAAAGCTGGAAATCATTATGAATCAATTCTGAAGATTGTTTGTTTAACTGCTGTTTATGTTCTTATAGCTGATATTAGTTGCATGTATGACCTTCCAGGTTTAAAGACATTAGCACTTAGAGATWATTGCTATGTGCTTTCCTTGATGCCAGGATTGCATTTTTATAGCTTTGATGTTTCCTATTATCCAAGCAGCTGCCCAAATTCAAACACGAACACACGTTTGCAAGGACAAGACCGCGAAAATGCACACTCTCATATCAAGTTGTGTAATTTGAGAGATTATATTTTACCCAGCGGACCTGTTTCTATCACCAGCCCTGTTAGCTGCTCCTAACCCTCATCAATGTTTGCACAATTGCCAGTCACTGTTTTCTGTGCTGCAACTGAGTTAAAGTGCCTGTGACATCAAATTTTTGTAATAAATATGAATGTATTTTTGGAAAGATAACATTGATAACATATTGTAAAAAAGATKTMATGCCGCTGAGATGAGCASTTGTTGAGATATTTGCATGTGAAGTAAYAGCACTTATGTCAAAGGGGAACRTCTGAATGTGAACAGAACGTTGCTAAAATGGCAAACAACACAGACTGTAGAGAAGAATCTGATGTTTCTTTAGAATATTTTAATCACTATCATAGAGAGATAAGAAAGAGTCAGAGTTCAAATAATATTGTTTAAATAAACAAAAACCAGGAAGTTTTCTTTCTCAGAGTTCCCCTTTGATGTCACTTCCTGTTTCACTTTAGCTGAGCCGAATTCAAAAGAAAATATACCAATTATGTGTTTTATGCCAAGTTCCTTCAATATAAATATATTTTCTTTGACTTTTTATATTACATGGATATGCATGTCACAGGCACTTTAAGGGTGAAGCATATTTTTACAATTTAAACTTACAGCAGATATCTTTAGGTGGGTTTCAACAGTCTGTAAAAAGCAAGCAAACTATTCAGCCACAGTAATGTTCTTTTATTGTAAATACAAACTGAAGTTGTACTGTAATTACACATAGTTCAGTTCACAATTAAGTAACCATGTTACCTTCAGTTGTTGTGAAATAGTTGTAAACTGTATACGATAAATTTGACTTTGCATCAAAGCCAATCTAAATGCATTGAAATTGGCTTCTGTCTCCTACCATTTCAGACACTCCCACTTCAGCACAACAGTGCTTTGGTGGGAGGATTTTGATTGAGCTCCAKGGAGGAGCTGTGTACAAGTAGGCGGTGTTTTGTACCAGAAAGCATTTAGGCAGCTCCAAGATGGTGTAAGATTGGGAGGTGGGGGTGCAGGGGAGGTGTGGACTATTTACCCCTCCCTGTTTACCCAGAGAGAAGACCTCAAGAGACCTGAATTGAAAATGGCTTTTGATAATATGCATGAGAAATATAATAATATAATATATAACTTTTGACAGTTTTGTACCCATCTGCTCTGCCTCTTCTTGAAAGTCACTAATTCCGCCTCTCAKAATGAAACTCCAACAATCTATCCATTATAAAGAATGAAACTCACATTTTAAATGTATTCAGTAATATTTTGCTACATTACACCATTTATCTGCTTGAAAACAAACAAGCAGTTTGAATCTTCCCACTTTTATGGTGATGACATGCATGTTTACATACTTCATCATGGTTTTGTGGCCTTGAGTTATGGCAAATCAAACATCAGCCACTGAGCCAATGAAATAAAGTTTTACCCATGTTAAATATGGCACAACTCCACRCTAATTATTTGAGCCTGTTTTTCATTTAAAGCAAAGATCTAACACCAAAAGCACAGAACTCTGTCTTCTGGTCTTTTTTTAATGCAGCAGGAACAGATGATGCTCACTGATTTGAAGGTGAGTTGACAGCAAAAAAAGTGATCCCAGCCATTTCAAAAAATAAAAAGGCTATGAATATACAGTAGATTGGATTTTGACTTAGTGGTTAAGACATTTGGGAGGTTCAGATTTCAATAAAAACAGCATTTTTATGTGATTACAACTTTGTTTTTTTGTTTTTTTCCTACCCATCTTGACATTCACTGGGGCCAGAAAAAAAAAAGATCAAATATATTTGCAATCTTCACACTGAGCAAACTGATTTTGCACTCACATTGCCCCGACTGCAAACTCAGGGGATGTGGCTTCAAATTGATCAAATAAAGGCCTCGACTGATACGCYGCACTGACGATAAGTGAGAGCTACGTGCGCCTGTATCATATACAGTACATGTCTGCTGCTTTTATAGATGGAGCCTTTACTCCATGACATAAATCTCGATAAGTCCCGCTGTAATGCTGACTATTAATCTGCGCTCGACTCCCGCCGTAACAAGATTATTTCAAGTCGGGGCTCCACCAGCAGAGGAGACTGCCTGTGCAAGCCTCACCCAAGGGTGCATTTTAATAGGCTTTCAAACTGCAGAGAAGAATGTGACTTTGCCTGTCCTCTGGGTTGTGTTTTTTTATTTTATTTCATTTTTTTGCACATTGGAGCAAAACTCATCTTGCTGCAGCCAAACTTCTGGTCATCAGTAACTTTAAATATACAAAATTGAATATGTTATTTGTGAAGACATTTCATTTCTGTATGACATGTTCATTTGTAGTGGCTTCAAACAGTTCCCAACCCCAAAACTGAATTATTAGGAAAAAAAAAGGTTCCTGCACTTATTCAATCATATCAGAAAAACTAGAGAAGGATGAAGCTTTTCTAGAGAGTTGGCCTGAACTTCAGCCGGATGTGCTACATTTCACTACACAGCTCTTCCTTTGACTTTGGTTTGCAACTATTGCTCCAGTCACTTCAAATAAGACTTTTTTTGTGTGGTACTTTCAGTAGAGACTATAACTTTTAGATTAAAAACAAAAAGATTTATACTGATGTGCATTTGAGAAGGCAAAAGTTTCTCAACCCTGAAAACCTATCTGCAGTAAAAGAGAAAAATACTATTTAAGGTGCACGTAATAGAAATGATGGAGACTATATTTTGTCAAAATAAGCTTGGATAGAATGACTTCTGATGTTTTTCCTGTTTTTAGGAGCAGAAAATATCTTTGGTAGTATGGGTAGAGAGCTGCTGCTCAGTCGTGAAGCCCATTTAAGGCTCAAGAACATGTAAAACCATAATAATAATAATAAAAATAAAAATAAATAATAATAATAATAAAATAATAATAATAATAATAATGATAATAATACATTTTATTTATAACACACTTTACATTTACAAAAATCTCAAAGTGCTACAATCCATAAAACAATTAATAAAACTTAGCAACAAAACAAGGACCAAAAAATACAGGTTTCATTACAGTAGCTACTGTTCACTAGAAGCATATTCAGTGATTCACCATAGTTGGATTAAAAGTAAATACAGACTTATAAAATACCCCTAATATCCAACAAGATGGAAGACAGCAGGATACTAGTCAAGACCACCTAAACCAAGACCAAGTCAAGACCAAGACCACAGTGTATTTAGACCAGGACCGGACCAAAACTAGGGCCTGGGCCTAGTCAAGACCAAGACCAGAAAAAAAAATGAAATAAAATAAAATAAAATAAAATAAATGAAAACTAGTTTCCTAAAAGAAAGAGCGTTCTGTAAATATGTAGCTAACTTAACATGTAGAGCTAGTATTGACAAAATCTCTTTGTGTATTGCCGAGCGAAGAATTTTGCTTCAGAGGCAGATTGCTAACACTAGCTAACGTTAGTGACAATAAAAGTTTAACGTCGTCCCCACCGTTTCTAAAAGCAAAGCACTGCAGACTTTACAAGTCGCTGTACGCTTTCTTCTGGATGCTGTTTTACAAATATATTCTTTATGGTTTATGTAGCTGAGCTGTGTCACTGAAGATTTAGCAGACACCTTTTTCGCTCACAGAGAACCATTGCTCACTTTCTTGGAGTGCCGTGTGCGAGGGAAGCGGAGTGGGGATGGGTGACACMGTAACAAAAATACATAATTAGCAATGAGTCGTGCTTGGATTTGAGTCCGTTTGTTTTACATTCAATTAAAGCAAAGAAGTTAACAAATAAATTGCATGATATTCTGGCTATTTAGTATTTCCACAGTTTTGGTCTTGACTGATCTTGAACTAAAATCCTGAGTTCTCTTGTCCGAGACTAGACCGAGTACAAATGCGGTCGAGTCCGCGACAAGATCAAGACCATCAAAAAGTGGTCTTAAGACCAAGACCGACCTCAAGTACTACAACACTAGGAGATACATTTAAAATCTACTCAGTTTATTTTAATGATGTTCAGGTTCTCGTTCTGTGCAGATTTATGACTTTTTAGCTTCTGTTTGCAAATATTTCCCACAGTGCTCTTCTTCTAATTCATGCAGTTGTATTAGTATTACTGTCATTATACGTCTAGGACCTCAGTGATTTGCATAMGGTCTGATTTGAGTAATTCATTCAGAGATGTGTTCATTTTGCCTCCATCAGGGCAGAGTTTTACTGTAAYAAACTGATTCACAAAGTTTTTTTATTCCGTCTGCCATCAGCCTTGTAACTATTAATGTGTTGTTTATTTGTACTCTTCTGCCAGCTGTAAACCTAATTACCCCTTGGAGACAATAAGGCTACCTTGAACCTTGATTAGTTGATCATTAGTTTTTATTTGCATTTAAATAGCATCTATTTGTACAGCTTTTTCTGCACTTTTTTGACATTTTGCCTAATTGACAAACTAATTAAAAACATGCGTGCACAAAATAAATGTTACATAATTATCTTTTTTCCCCCTTTTAATTCAAATGCCTCTCAGTTTTTCAGTGCCAGAGGTCAGGATGGTGTATTTATTATTTAATGTGAAATGTACCTTTAAATGTTTCACTGACGCTTTTTTATGTGCCATTAAAACTCACAGGTGAGGTGCTGGCTCATAAAGAAATACATCCACAAAAACCCCTTTCAAAGTCACATWTACTGTTTTGAGGCCGCATTAGCTGTGATTTAGTGCCTGAGAAGCACCATGGGAAAAGACAGAGTGGGCTTACAGAAGAATACACTCAGATTTGTCTTTTAATAAGTTCCACATGTGGTACGAGAGAAATCCATCACCACAGTAACTCAAAGAGATCAGGCTGAAAAGTGGCTCTCGAGGCAATGAAATTATTACAACCACGTTATGTTAATGAGACTTTAATGACTCCTTTTAGATGGAATCCACTGTTTCCCAGCAGCTTTCTGTCCAAAAGTTACTTTCAGCTCATTTTTCCCCAAACAGTGTTCTTTGATGACATGTGGGTCTGAGTTTGAAGGATGAATTTCTGACAGTAATCACCGCTGTAGCTTCGAAAGCATTTGTTGTAACCRGAGCAGAATGCGCAACATCGCCACATGAATATCTTTTTGTCATCTACTCTCCACAGACAGAGAACAACTTAATGGAGATGTGGAATAAAACGGGGCATCAGGGAAACAAGTGGAACCGGGCGGAAGTCCCGCTCAGGAAGCTGAGGAACTTCAAGGTGATTTTTGAGGGAATCCGCTCCTTCGACGTGAGCGGAGGAGCCGCGCTGGACGACCTGGAGTTTATCGACTGTGCTCCAAGTAGGTGACACGCACCGGCAGGTTTAACACATTCCCATCAGACAGAACCTTACACAATAAAATCCATCAARTATATAGAACCCAATGATGTAGATCAGTAATTGTTATGGTTTGTAAACCTCCAGGCCTCTTTGAATATGCAAAACATTAAACATAAAACTAAATGAATGCCAACGCCTTAAGAATTCAACCTTTAAATTTTTAGATTCATWCAGATCCAGATGTTTCTCATCAGGCACTGGTAGAGAGAAGCTGCAGCACCTGGCAGCAGAAATCTGAGTTTAAATGCTAATGAGTCCATTTCTTTCACAACAGACAAGWAATTTTGATGTAAACCTAAGAAAAAACTCATTATGGAACCTTTGATGGATAAAAATTTAAAATGTAAGAACCAAATTCTTTTGACRTACSCTTTCTTTTTTMTTTCTTTKTTTTTCTTTCTTTTTTTCAAAGGTTTAAGAAGAGCAGACGTTTCCTCACCTGCCAAAGTAATCAGAGTTGCTGGTATTTTCAGCAAACCTCTGTTCATAAATTTTAAACACTTTTTTTGAAGGAAGGAAATATAAGCCATTTTAGCCTTTTATTTAACTGAATGGGAGAAAAAGAAAACTTGTTTAATGTTCATTCAAACACAGGTTTGGCATTGGTTTAAAATTCTTTTGCACACTATAYGTATGTAAGTTATGTTTTTAATTTTTGCAGAACCAAAAAAATTATGTCAAAAATAAAGCTATATTTGACAAATCTAGGAATTAAAGTTATGATTCACATCCGTTATTAGGTTCTTTAGAAAGGTTATGAACAGTTAGTATCTTACCTGCTGTAGGTAACTTTTTGATCAAACATAAAAATGGGTTAATTTTGGTCAGCTTTGATGAGCTGTTAGTTYAAGCTATCTTAAAACAACTAAAAGAATTTCACATAGATTAATTTAAACATTATTTTTATAATATTTAACACAATCTGTTTTAYGCGACATGGGTATTTACATAGCATTTTGTGTCTGTATGTGCTACTAGTGGCAGTAGCATCTAGCTGTAGCACCTTTGTTGCAGCCACAGTTTTTGCAGGAGTAATATCATGATATTTCAGTCAGAATTACTGTAAAATTGACAGTGATATAYAACAGCTTATAGAATTGTGTTTGAATAAACCTTTATCATTTTTTTGACAATTGTGTTGCTTTATCATGCCAGCAATCCATTTTGGTTTTAGTCTGACTTGGACTAGCTGTTAGCTTCTCAGTCTGGTTTGTTTATTCAAACAGAGGTAGAGCAGGTAAAATAAAAATTGTTTTATGTCCTTTACACAGACCAAAAGATGTCAACTCTTCTTAAATCTTCTGGATTAGTAATAAAAGCATCATTATGGAATATAGTTCAAATTATAATAAATTTCTCTTTCTTTAATCGGAGTATTTATCCACTAATGCTCTCAAGAAAGATGTAATTTTACTGTGAAATTATTTCTGGATCTTTCCAACTGATAGTTTGAGGTCTGGCTTGTTTCCCTACATGTGGAAAACCCGGAGAACCTGAAAGCCGACATGTCTTCCAGCACGATGACATCCGCTGACAGATTCTGGTTGGTTTATGTCCGAAACAGATGCTTCAAATTAAATAGGATCTGACATGAAGCTTGACAAAAAGTGGGATGTTTCCCTGCTCGTCCAAGGCCATCTCACTCTCAGACAGACAGACACTTATAGGAGGAAGAATAAATCCTGACCTGGGATATGCATCAAAATACAACAAAGKGTGTGCATGACAAGCAAAACACCAGAAAAACATGACCTCGTTCAACTTTATATTTATAATATATGGATTTTTAGTTTTCTTAGTGATGGTTGAACCCCTTAATGAATTTGTACAGTTCACCAGTGTGAACATGTGTACAGTTTCTGATCATCTGTTTTCGTCTTTGTCTCAAAAGAGAAAAGACAAGAGGCTTTGATTTTCCTGGCAAGTCCATGTCTGTTTTTATTTTCTGCTGTGGCCGCTGCTCGTGTTGTTTGCTGCAGAGTACAGAAAGGCTGCGGTTTCATAAAACACAGTTATTCATTTGTAGTGAAAAATTGTCTGATGTTCTTGTCCAAACTAGTCCTAAAACAGAATAATTGATAACCACTCGTATGTGTTTTTAGGTGCTGTGGAGCCAGGAAATTGTCCCGCAGTCACAGACTTTGTGTGTCRCAACGGCGACTGCATCGAGTCCCACCTGGTGTGCGACAATAAGGCCGACTGTGCTGATGAGTCRGATGAGATGGACTGCGGTGAGTTGAAATGAGTCCATCAGAGCAGAAAACAACCTTCAAGCTACAAATAGAGAGATTTGATCTTTCTGTTGTACAGACCACATATTTGACTCACCGGGCGCCTGTGACTTCAACATGAGGGCGGAGAGCTGGGAAGAGCACTGCCAGCTCTTTCAGGACATCGATGATGACTTCGATTGGAGGATCGGCCACGAGGCTGAGACACCAGGAGCCGGACCTCACACTGACCACAGTCCAGGTCTGAACCTGYTTTCCTGCCCATCSAGCARCAAACCATCAAAGTTAGCATCAGGACAGGATCAATTTTCAGAAGAGTTGTGTTGTTCTAGTTAAAGTGGAGTTAAATAAATGTGGGAAACCTGCTCATTTGTGGGTTTAGATGCTTTTGAGAAGTTATATGGAGGTATTGTTTTGTGTGTAATGAAGAGTACTTGTTGAAATAACTGTCATTACAGTTTGAAAAGACCACTGTTGAATAACTGAAAACTTTCCTGTATGAATAATTTTTTAGTCTTGTCCAAATGCACTTGAGAATAAAGTCACTTTTTAGGTAATTGGTTTAATTTCGAAAAGTCTTTCAGAACCCAAATGATGCTTTCAGTTACAGGGTCTGACAAAGTGTTGCTTTTCAAAAGCMGTTATAAGTAAATCTGTTTCACTTATTCTAGTAAAGTAAGTTAATTCCCCCTTTTTTTGTCATGKTTGCATGAGGTTTGGACCTACGAATGCAGGTTAACACCAAGAGCTCAAATAGTAAAACTTATTTCATTATGAAACGAAGCAAAAAGAAAGACAAGGCAGCAAGATCTACAAACTGAGGATCTGCACAAGCAGACATATGGAAACAGGGAACACTGGATGTGGCATGCATAKTGCATAATGCTCCACTGAGGAGTGAATAAAGGCTGAACAGCTATATGGACTGGAGCTGATGGGCAGCAGGGAGACAGCTGAGCTTAACAAAATTGGGTGCAGGTGTCAGAGGAAAACACAGAAACCAAACTCCACAAGAAATAAACATGAAAATAAATCCAAAAATAAAAAACCAACACTAATAATTATGCTTTCAATGTGTTGTGAAGTTTTAATTTAAAAAGACAACAGGCAACGTTCCAGAGTTTAAAAGTCCATAAATACTGGAATCACTCTCTCTGTCTCAACGAGTGAGCAGCCATCTCCCCTGCTATCACTTTTACCCAATTACAGCAGGAAGGGCCTCAAAGAGACAGCAAATCAGCAACGTTATTAGATATCAAATCATTGCTGGGATTTTATTTTAATTTTTACCTAATGAAGAATAAAATATATTTGTATATGTTCTGTCTCCGGTGTCAAAAGGTTTTGCCAGCATCAGTTCTGATATCCTTCACTCTGTGTTGCTGCTATAAAAGATTATGCTTCACAGGGAAATCAGCCTCTAACCGCGAAAGAACAGAATCCATGCAATCATAGTAAAATATTAATAGTGCTGTCAGAAAAAAATAATTTCTCAAATTTAAGCACAAGCATCCCTCCGACATTCTTTGTTTGCAACTCATTGCAGTGCTTTTGTAGTGGCAGTTTGACAGCTGGTAAACAGGAAGTTCAGAGGAACGTGTGATTTCAGGGTTAATGAAAACATCCTGATATTTGTCAGCCTGAGTTAAAATGAGCTTAACACTGCTCTGGGTAGTGTGCAGGAATGCTAATGTATGAAATGGCATTTTTCCCCACAGCAATAAAAAGGTTACATTTGATTTAATGTATGTATAGAAATCTCAACATTTTCTATGTAAAAGCCTTCATAAGCCTTCAGTAAAACTGTCCACTCATAAGTTTTATTTTGTTTTTTCTAGGATTTTGTGTATTTCTTTCTTTTTTTTGGTTTTTAATGATGCCTAATTTGCCTTGAGTAAAGCTGATGAGAGAATGAGCTGCATGACATAAAAATGAAACAGCATGGGAAGATTATAGATGCGTTAAGCAGGCATGCTTTGTAATTGTGCTTTATTTCTCAGAGAGAAAATTAGACAGATGTATTCAGTTTGGAGGACCAAACGTTTATGGCAGTTTCACTTTTTTTACAGTTTTAACTCTTTAGAGGCTTTCAGAGAAAACTGAAGCTGCTGTTTCTTTTTTTTTTTTATCAAGTTTTGTCTCAAGAAGTTACTATACTATATTGGGGGAAAAAGCCTATTTTCTGCAGCTTCCAATGCAAACATCAAGTTTGTGAATGAAGACTCAGTTGGTTGTTAAGTGTTTTCAACAAATGTATAAAATCACAATAAACAAGCAGTAGGTTGGTTTGAATAGTAAATAATTGTAGTWTGTGAGATGACTGGAATTAGACAGGGAATGCGAGTAAACCTTAATGTTTCTGGTGCGAGATGTTCAAGTGGAAATGTGAACAAAGGTAGTTTTTCTTTTCTTTTTCTTTTGCTTTTTTGTGGTGGATGGATCCTCAAAAGTGAAGGGACCAGGTTTATCCACCACCAGGCACAATGGCAGAGCCAGGGGATGGCCAATGGCGATCTTGGTCACCATACTGGCCTCCCCAATCATTTGAGGACACTATACTTTTAAGCTAAGGAAGGACAACTTACATGAATGTAACAAAGCTTCCATTTTAAAAACATTTGTGTGTGGCGAGCTGGACCGAGGTCACACAGCTGTGTCCCACGGGCCGCCAGTCGAACCATCCCTGTAGCAATATAAAAGTTTGTATGAGCTCTAATGATCGGGTTTACATGTACACATGGTGGCAGCCATCTTGGATTTTGGACGACCAGCTGGACAGATGCCACACTTTGCTCCACGATGGGTGACAAGAATCTTTACTTTTACACTTCGCTGACTATAAACTTCAGGACGAAGCTGTGTTTCTTTATGGGTGATGTTACATCTGTCCTCCCTTTCACACGTAGCTGTATTTCCTCCTTGTCTTGGCTGTCAGTGTGGCCACTTCTTATTGGCTCGTTGAGTTTATTGATCAGAGAGAAGAATCATTTAGTCCTSGATGGACTTATGATCCTTTTACAGAGATCAATGAACTTGACCATCTGTAACAAACACACAGAGACACACACAGAGAAAAACCCTGTAGTTTCAATATGGAATGGTGTTAAAACTGTGGWTCATCAGCAGCTGTACTTTCATACTCCTTTTGAATAAATGCAAAGACTGTTTTGGTTTTGTTTGTTTTGAAGYAGACTCCTGTGTTGTGGGTGGGAGCAGTATTTGCTGTGTGTTGTGGATTGCGATAATTCCTCCTAACTCATGTGGAAAACTCCCACTTTGTTCTGGTTTTGCACAGATGCTGTTTCATCTTCGAGTCTAGCCAAGCTGAAGAGGCATTTGGCTGCAGGCTCCACCGTTTCACAGCAATCCCTTTCTGTCCAAATTKAATGTATTTTGAAACCAGCAGAGGAGTTATTGGATTTCTTTCCTGCAGTAAAGCTGAGATTAGATGGCCGTGCTGTGGACTTTATTTTTTTAAATATATATATTACAGCCTCGTCGTTCATTGCAGTCGTATCTCACATGAACACGTCTTGACTGTATTCGTCTCCATAGGTGGTGGGGGGAACTTCCTCTACATACACTCRGCCCCTCAGAGGGAAGGGGATGTTGCCAAGGTGACAACCAGAAATCCATTTCCTGCCAGCATTGGTCTGTGTCACCTGCGCTTTTGGTTCTTCATGCACGGCTCTGACAGGATGGGAACACTAAAGGTGATTGAATCTCCACCTGCTTTCCAGAAACGATTAAAAATGCTTTTTTCTTCTGAAGCCAGCCTTCAAGCCTTCAGTGACATTTTGCTTTTCTGTCATTTAGCCTCAAATTATCCACCAATGCCAACCCGAGGACTTAATTAGGATTTCTCAGAAATTYACGTCCCGTTTCACTCAACCCATTGCACAACGCTGTCAATCAGCAAATACCCACAGGAGGCTATGAAAGCCTCCCTGTCTGCAAATAAATCATCAAAGTAATTCACCTTCCAACCTGACTACTGGATTTATCTATTTATGCCTTTTTGGAGATGATTCTTTAATTTAAAACAAACACAAAGCACATGCTAAAAAAGTAATTAGACAGGAAGTTTGGGTAGTTGAGGTGCTTCAAAATCTGTTGTAATATGGGTAAAAGAAAAYGAATTTAAAGAATCCATTCACAAGCAATACATGATTTGTCCTAAAGCAGGSTATTTCAACTGCTGGCCYGCGGGCCACGTCTAGTCAGCGGGTGACTTCAGTCKGGCCCGTCAATTAGCTCCACCCGRCCAAAAAATAAGGCATACAAATATTTTATTTACTTAAATATAAAAATAGATTTTAAATCAATTGTAAATTTTACACCTATGATTCAATGCAACGAAATGAACAAACTTAAAATGTAAAAGATAACATTTATTTTTACAATATTGTCTGTCACCTGAGCTGTTGGCTTCAGAGTTGTAAAGTAACTAAGTACAAATACTTCTTCACTGTACTTAAGTAGAATTTTTGGGTATCTGTACTTTATTTGAGTAAGTATTTTTCAGCCTACCTTTTACTTCTACTTCTTACATTTTCACGCAGTTATTTGTACTTTTTACTCCTTACATTTTTTTAAAAAGACAAGAAGTAGAAAGTCGTTACTTTTATTTATTTTTTGCTTGTTTTCATTCCAGCTTGTTATTGTAGAAAATAAATACTATCCATATAAGTTGTGCCTCCTATATAGAGTGAATTTAATTATGGTTGAATGAGAAGTATAAATATATAAAATTCTKATACCGTATTAGTTTGTACACAAACAAATCATGTCCCACTCCAGCAGGACATAATCATTAAAATTGTACTTAAGAAGTATTTATATTTCATGAATTAYTGCATTTGTCCCGCAGGCCTCGGATGGATTTTCATTTTGGGGAAAAGGTTTAGGCAGCCTTGATATATGTATATAAAATTAAACAACTGCATCCTAAATTTAAYATAAATTAATTATTTTAATACAACAGTCATTTCTGCATTTTTTGGGGAGGTCACCTCCTAATAAATGTCATTACAGAAAATCTAACTGCTCATTTTAAATCAATACTTTTACTCTTGACACTTAAAAAATCAGATACTTTAAGACTTTTACTCAAGTAATATTCCTAAAAGAGACTTTAACTTTTTACCAAAGTAAGGTTTTGGTAAGATACTTGTACTTTTGCTCAAGTATCACTTTGTGGTACTTAATACTGTATAACACTGGATGGCTTTGAGCAGCTGTGGCCATCTGAATAATTTAGCTTAACAGCCCTGTTCTAAAGTTAAAATTAAAACTTAAAATTATTTAAATTAAGAACAGCACTTTAAAAGGAGTATTCATATTTATTTTGAAGTGGTTTATGTGGAGCTGTTATTGGTGATTAATATCATACCTGCAAWAGAAATCACTCAACGTGAGTTCATTTGGGAATAACAGAAGCAAACTGATGCCCCCCTCAAAATAGCCCACTGTCTTKAGAGGTTAACTACATGCACATGTGTTTGACAGCTCTGCAAAACATTATAGTTAAATACTAAAAAAAGGCAAAGTTGTATAATAAAATAGCAGTTATATGAAAACGTATTTAGGAAATTGACCTCAGTACTGACCTTTTCTGAAACGACTAGAAAATTAGCAGAAATTTTCTAAGATGTAAAACAATGCACTTAAATAAAATGTATATTAATGCAGAACATGTAGATTTTCTTGTATTTCTATTAAAAAATAAAATGCTAGCTCACCACATTCACCTCTGATGAAGAAACTGTTGTGTTTTATTGGGTTTATTGATAAACTATTTAGATAGTGTATTAATTTTAACCACTGGTGATCTAAACTCGTTAGGTTTACACTGTTGGACAGAGCGGYACACGCTTGCTGATGTGGGCAGCCACTGGTGACCATGGCAACCAGTGGACATACGCCAACATCATCCTGTCCAACACGGCTCCGTTCAGAACRACCTTTCAGGCGGAGGTGGGCGGAGACGTGTGGACAGACATCGCCCTGGATGACATCTCTTACACAGCAGAGTGTATGGTTGGAGGTAAAAGTTTATTTTTGTCTCTCTTTTCTTCACTTTTATTGTTCGTCTCTCAGATTCTCTGCTTCCAGCACTATTCTCGTTTGTCATTTTGTTTCCTTTCAGTTTCCCGCCTGCTTTCTCTCTCTCTATCTCTGTGCTACAACATCTCCTGCCTCTTCCAAGTTTCCTCATAAACAAGCTGAACCCTCTGGGAGAGGGTAGAAAGTTAATGGAGCCTGTTGCCCTTTGGATTCATATAAATTCACAGTGGAGACTGGGTCAGTGTTGAGGAAAGGCAGCGAAGAGTGAAAGCAATTACACTTATATTGTGTAGTTTCCTCACCTTCCACCCTAAACCCCTTCTTCAACTTTTTAAGAAACTCAAAGTTATTCATATCTAAAATATCGGTTCAGTTTGGACTCTGAATTCAGTGTGATGAGTTTCACGTGAACACGTCTTGTTATTTACACACCTCTCCACATCAGGACCTGTAACTCCTCAGCCCCTGACCTGCGGTGCGGACCAGTTCCAGTGTCTGCACTCCTTCCAGTGTATCCCCAAGAGCTGGTGGTGTGACAGGGAGCCGGACTGCACGGATCGCTCTGACGAGGAGCTCTGCCCGACCGCGTTGCCCGGAACTCTGCCTCCTCAGGATCGCTGCCCCATGGGTCATTATCAGTGTTCAGACCTTCAGTGCATCCCCTCCTTACTGCGCTGTGACGGGGTCTTCGACTGCCCTGATGGAGAGGATGAACACGGCTGCCGTAAGTTCACACACTTTCAGCTGCTGTTGGACAATTGACTGAAAAGCTGCCAGTACGAATCCTAAAAGGTCAACTGATAAAGTGCTTTTTGTTTACTGATCCAGTCTTAAAAATGAAAATGTTGCTAAGATATTTGTGACCATAATGTTATTAAAATATTTTTTCCTCTGAAACATGCTTTACCATGAATTCCTTCAATTAGAAGATTCTTACTTAATAAGTAGTTTACATGTTTAATATTTTATTAAGAATGCAAATGTTTTTAAAACGATATATTTTAAGCTACTTGATTTAGAAATTATTTATAGAATCAGTAATTTTAGGAGTAAAGGTTCAGATTTATAGTTTTGTTATAAACCACTGTAAAAAAAAGAAGAAAATATTCAATTTTGTAACTCAAGAAAATTAAACCATGATATATAAAAGATTAGTGAAAATAAAAAGCATGTTTTATTTAAATAATAAAAATGATTAATATACGAGTCAAAAGAGCTTCTAAACATCTTGATAAAAAAGAGAAGCATTCTGTAGATCTCTCACAGCAAAAACAGGAGTGTTAAAATTTCAGTGTTAAACTTTTGGGTGTTGGTTTAACACCCCCAGTGCTGTTTTAACACTTTCTGAGTAAACTCACACCTATTGTTGGTGTTAATTCACAGTGTTGATTTCCTCAGTGTTGTCTCAATACTGGACAGTATTAAATGAGCTCTGCCCACTTTTAAGTCTTATATCAACACTTAACAGTGTTGATATATGCAGTGTTGAAATAAGTCTTCTGAAAAGCCCCGGCCTCTTCCACGTCATGTCAGACAGACCAGTATTTTCACAGGAATGCTGGGTAATCTTGTAGAAATGATGTGTTTGTACAGTAGGTTTAGGACTATTAAAGATGTTCATGAGAGTAAAAATGAGTTGTTCTGGTTAGTTGTCTTGTTCAGTTTGATCAAGTTGTTCAACTTTAATTTTGTGTTATTGGCCATAAATTGACACCAGGTGTGAGAGGTACTTCCTGTGTGAAGGTCGACTCCATTATACTTTTCTACTAATTACTGAGCAGTGTCAACGCAACACTTCAAAGTGTTTGATTTTAACTCTGAGTGTTAAATTTGCACTCAAATTTATGGTGTATTGACACCTTGTTGTCTGTTAACCTTTTATCACCACCCAGTAAATTTTGCAGTGTTAAATCAACACTTAAAGAGTTAAATTTAACACTGTGTCTGATTCTATTTCGTCCTTATCGGAAATGGTGTCAATTTAACTCTTTCCATAGTGTTTCAGAGTACAGTTTAACTCTAAATAGTTAAAAATGAACACTGACTAACACTGTACAGTATTAATAAAACTTAACACTTCAAGTCAAATAACTCTGATCAGAGTAATTATGATTCTAAGCAGTGTTAATAAGGTGCTGATTCTCATGCTTTTCAACACTGCATTGAGTTATTGGTGGTTAACACTGGAGGTTCATACCTCCTATGAGTGTTAATTTGACACTCTACTGTGTTGATTACTCTTCTGCTGTGCACAATTTCCTTTGTTAATAAYAATACACTGGTGTTACTTGTAACACTATRTTTTAACACTGTWTTGTCACAGCAGTGTTGTTGAATATTAAACACTGGCTGGTGTTAAATTAACAAAAAAAAATGTGTGTTAACATTTAACACTTTTACAAATGTTATTTTAACACCAGCATGTGTGGACACATGCAGACTCTTTGTTGGTGTTAAAAWTAACACAGTGGGTGTTAAATTAACACTGGCTTTTTCAGCTGCTGCTTTGTGTTCCTGCTGGCTTAGACAATATAACTACTTAAATGTGTTTCTTTGTTCAGCAGGTGTTCTTAAATACAACGTTTGTGTTTCATTCTTTACTGAAACACATCTATGGTACTTCTAAGGMAAATTTAAGCTGAGAAATTGAAAAAAAAAAGAAAACATTGTCTCAGATGAGGTTTGAAGGCTCATCTTCATATCATCCTTCTTTCTCCAGCTGTCCTACAGTGTGAGGCAGGGGAGCTGGTGTGTGAAAGTTTGCCCGGTTGTATCCCACCTTTTAAACGATGTGACCAATCTACCGACTGTCTGCCGTTCCACCCAGATGAATCCAGCTGCCGTGGTAACATGCTTTTTACATTACTCTCTCCTTYTCACTATTAAACACCTCTGTGACTTCCTGATGTGTCACAAGTTGGCTGTGAAATTATAACGACTTCAGTGTGTGCGTACGGGAGGTGAAGAAGCGCTTCATTAACTGCATTTCAAACAATGTTTCATGAAACCTCCTCTCCTCTCCTCTGGCAGAAGGGGTTTCATCTTTGATTCAACTCCTTTAAGGTTTTTGACGTCRCTCTTTAGACATTCGGTTCAAATGTTGCACCATCTAAGTTACTTTGTTCTGTCCTGTGGCCGTACTCGTGAGACGTCAGTCACTTTTGATTTTCTGAACTTCTCTCATATCTGCACTTTTCCAGCAGCTCCAGAGATTTTCTTTTTTTAGTTTTTTAGTTCTTAAAGATACAGCATCCAGRTCACTTCACAATAACTGTTTAGTCACTGCCAACAGACAAACAGACATTGTTAGTGTTTTATTTGAAAAAAAAAAAAAGCTAATTGCAGTTTTATTACTGTTTGATTGTTTATTTTATTCATTCTTTGGCACAGCAATGARCTAAAAACTAAGCCAATTATAATTAATCAATGACAAGAAGCACAAAGAAGCCAGATTTAAATTTAGTACAAAAAGAAAGGAAATTTGTGTTCAGTGGATTATTTCTTTGTTGTAACAATGTTACTTGGAAATAAATCTTTGTTGGGAAGTTTGTTCATTTCTCTTTTAAATGGCGCCACATTTGTAAGGAACATGCATTTGTGAGACGAGCAGTAGAGCTGAATAAGTTGGTTGCTCACATGAAAAAATAAAAAAGTTAAATCCTCTTGTTTTGAGGTTCTGGTCCCCCCAGGTGCTGCCAATCAGATGTCCACTACAAGATTTATTGTCAAGAAGCATTGTTACAACAAAGAAATAATCTACCAAACCTAATTTACTTACTTTTTGTGCTACAGATGTTCTGTTTTCACACACTCCTGACTCTATAACTCTATAAATATATTCACACATATTTTAAAAAATGGAAGAATTATCAGGAAATGTCAGTAATAGGACAATAAAGTCTATTTATTTGTGTTGCATTATATTGTAAATATGAGGAGTAAAACATGAAAAGTTACTGCAAATTTTAGTATATGACAACTACTTGTTTTGTGAGTTTCATTACTTTTTAACATTAAAACACACACTGATTCACCAATATAAACAGCTACATTTATCATTATAATATACTTCTATTTCCTGTAAAGTGAGGAAATAAATGGTGGCCAGTATCTGAGGACAGTGAGAACTAAGACAAAACATTTGAAGATTTTGTGTTTGGTTTGCCTTTTAATATGAGACTAATGATGAATTTATTTTTACTTTCTTTGCAGAATGCCCATCGATGTATTGCCTGAATGGGGGTGCATGCTTTATAGAAACATTTGGGCCTTATTGCATGTAAGTTGACTTATATCCACATATAGACTAATATTCAAAATCCCAACAGTCACAAACATGTGAACAGTGTCTGTTTGTCCGACACACTTTGCCTTTCTTTCTTTCTTTCTTTCTTTCTTTCTTTCTTTCTTTCNCTTTCTTTCTTTCTTTCTTTCTTTCTTTCTTTCTTTCTTTCTCTCTTTCTTTCTTTCTTTCTTTCTTTCTTTCTTTCTTTCTTTCTTTCTTTCTTTCTCTTTGTGAGGCTTAAAACATGGAAATCCAATCAGTCTTGCTCCTGTACTTTAAAAACAGACACGCTCTGTGAAGCATGTTGAAATCTGCTCATCCCCCCAGATTAAACGTGGTGTTTCTGTCTTCATTTATCCACCAGCACAAAGTTTCCTGGGAGTCTCTGATTCTCCTGGTCAATATTTAAACACGGCGTCCATCAGAGTAATTTGCCTGCCTTTTCGTTTCTACCATTCAATAATAGATTCGAGAATGACCCTGCATGCACTTTGACTGGTGGGGATTTTTTTTTTTTGTATTTTTTTATTAATAATGAGCTCATGAATCCAACTGCCTGCATCAGCAGTTTGGAGCGTCTGCAGTCAGAGATTTCATTACAATAGTAAGGATGCAATTATGAGCCGTGCAGGAGGATCTGCTAACATCATTATGCACCAGTGATTTCTCTCTCCGAGAAATTTACATTTCTCCATTTTTCTGTCAGAGGGTTCAGTTCTGCAGAAAAGACGAGTTGTGCAGCAGGTCTCATGAGTATCTGCACACTGAAGCAGCAATGCATTTATTTATTTTTGCTAACTTGCTGCTCGGTTCATTTATTTATTTATATTTGTTTTGTTTTGTTTTGTTTTTGGGGTGGTTTATGACCCTTTTATTTCTTGCCTATAAATGGAGAACTAGCTTCCACACAGATCTCCTCTTTCAAAAAAAATGTTTGAATAAAGCTCATAAGTTTTCTGTTTTTTCCTACCTGTAGATGTGTCTGAGAATATATTCGTAAATGTTTAAGTGGTGTGTCAGTCTGAAAAAAAAAAAAAACAGCAGTCTGCGAATGACTTGTGGGCAACACCGCAGATTTGTTTACTTTGTCTCTAATTTCCCTGCCACTGCACAGCCTGCCAGCTGCTGTCAGTCATGCACAAACACTGAACCAAAAAGTGGAAAGGAAAAATAATTTATTGTCTTCAAACACATTTCTCTCGACTTAATTATTCAAAACCATGTTTTAGGTGTTTTGTAACCTTTTCTTCTGCAAGTTTTGTTTTATCTGTTGACTGATTTAAAGGTAGTACAGGAATATACAGACTTTGGATTGTCAGAATTTTGCTTTTTTAGGCTTTGAGTTTAGTTCTGGTGTCCAACATTTTCCAACTGAGGCTGGCACCGCTCCTTCCTCATAATGTTTGAGGAATTTACAGTCGTCATTCACTGCTCAGTGTGAAGCTCCTGAGGCTGTTCCAGCCCTGTTGTACATCCTGAAACCATCAGCCCAGACTTAGTATTTGCATCTTGCTCCTGCAGGAAACCAGGCCAGGGGGAAAAAAATGCTGCTACAGCTGGACTCACACAATCTGAACACTGACCTCTTTCTGAATGAGAATGACACAGTCTTCTTTATCTGACAGCTGTGTGTTTCACATTAGAGGGTCAGTKTCCTCAGAAATGAAGTTGATGCTGAACAGATGTTGACTTGGAGCTGAGTCACTGTTTGGGAGATGAACCCCCCCCACCTTCCCTTTTTTTTCCTTCTTTTCCCAGAGATGCAGATCACCAAACTGGCCAAACTATTTWAACCTGTTTCTGTGCCAGAAGTCTGATTACTAACTTTTTCTTAAATTATAAAACACTTTTTTAACAGTTGTTGAT